AACTGAATCTGTTTCCATCCTCAGGTGGGGGGAACACCTGCTCGCTTGGATCTCTTAGAAAGAACAAATCTCAGTCATTGCAAAACCCCTGTCAGAGTTGGTGTCGGTGATTTGGATGTAATTGAGTGCACACAAAGATGGCGGATGTCCCAGTACCTGGATTCTGGAAATATTGAATTGAATTTATTTACATTCCGTAAATCCTGTACAGGTGAGACACCATAGGATATGGAACAAGTCAAGTTAGAATACATAGTAGCTATACAATAATACAGTAATATTGCAATTAAATGAGGTAAACTTATAATACTTATAATACACATTAAACAATGATCAAGAAATTTATTAGATGCTGGCCTAGCTGAATTTTCAGTGTCATTCCATCATGAACAGATACATGGAAGCAGGCACTGTAGTACAAGTACATAAAGCATTCAATGACATTGAGGTGCACACCAACTAAAGTGGAGACAAGCATTGAGCGGATGACTATTAAGAACAGAGCAAACTTTTGCAAAAGTCTGGATGGAAAGCTGCTATTTAGCGCGCTTTGCAGCATGTGCACGGTAACACAGATTGAACTGAAGGCCGTGAGTATACAGACAAAACACTGTGATGCAGTGAACAAAACCTCATTGGAATCGACAGCCCAGGATGACAATTTCCAGTAAGAAAGAAACGCGAGAGGCATAATTCCAATGATACATCATATTCAGCCAAGAAATAGACTAAAACAACTCCAACATCCACAGCTCTGAAGCTGCCTCCAAAAGCAGTGTAAACTCGCAAATTCTTTGCACCTCTCACAATTACTGACATGGACATGGAGACTACTGGAGCAGAGAACACTCTACTGGAGCAGAAGGCTCCAAGAAAATCAAGTAGGCCACCACCAACAGTGATGACTTCTACCACAAACATCATGCAACTACAAAGCGACTTAAAAGAACATGTCATGGGAGAGTATGAGTTCTGAAACATGGAAGGGAACCCATATCATAACAAAAGAAATGGCGGACTATTCAACCATTAAGTCCTACCTGGACAAAAATAGTCTCCACTATTTTACCTTCTCCCCAGATTTTGAAATGCCTATCAGAGCAGTAATGCATCACCTTCCCCCAAACATGTCAGTGGAAGATATTTCCAACAGCCTCTGTTCCTGATTTCCTTAACAAGAAACTTAAAACTACGAGATATGTTCAAACTGAACAGCCTGAACCATATTATCTTCAAGGTAGAACCGTATAGAGCTCAGACTGGCCTTATGCAGTGCTAGAGCTGTCAAAATTTTGGCCAAGTCTGGGCCAACTGGAAGCAACCCCCTAGATATTTGTGGTGCAGTGGCGGTCACCAGTGTAGGGAGTGCCCTGAAAAGATGAATACAGAATCTATACTGAGCTGTCGCAATTGCACCCTAGTAGAAGGAGAGAAATCTCATCCAGCATCATCTAAGGCTGCAGCCATGCAAAAGGAGAACAGCAATGGAGAAGAGCACAACAAGCTCCTAAGTGATTATCTGGGAGGAGGTTATTCTATAAGTTCACGTTATCAGAACAGTCGTATGCAGCTGCAATGCATCAAGACACTCAACAACAGCAACCACAGACAGATGCGTGCAGCGCCCCATTCAGCAGCATCTGCTACAACAGGAATTTCAGAAAACTGGTCTGTCAGTATGGACCCTCAGATCGCCTGACACTGACAGGTTAAGAGTAGCCACTGTAGAATGACAGATTGTGGAACAGCTCAGCAGAACTGTATCAGGGGAGGGCAAGGTAATGATCTGTGCATTGATGGTACTTGACTTATTGCAATGAAATGGCTGCTAGAGTTCATATTCCACTCAGAGTCACAGTATCCGATGGAAATGGCCCTATGAGCTCAGTACACAGCTGCAAAACTTACACACTATGTACCTAAAAGCCAGAATATCTGAGTCAAAATGGGTGTCTATTGTTAGACAACGGTGCGGTATCCATGGGTCTGCGTCGGTGCCTGGGTGACAATTAAACATGTTCATGTGACAACGCATACATATCAGACATTACTACGAAAATGAAATCCAGGACTAGTGCAGTTACCTTGGTAACGAATACATTAGCTACCGGTGCATAGAACACATGAAACAGAACCCTTGAACAAGGTTTATTCTAGGCCGTCCGAATGTCTGTTATAACAGACCAGGACAGAAGTGAAGAGAACAGAACATCCCCCGTGTGGAGGCGGGGTCGAATACCTCCACCGTGACCCTGTGAATCGTAGGAGGCGACGAAAAAGGAAGTCTCAAATCTGAGACAGTAAAATATAGTCACGAGTCCCAACAGACTCAGACTCGAGAAAGGCTGCACTGGCAAGGGCCAGCAGCATATACAAAAGGCAGACCCGTCCTCTCATTAGAGAGGGCGCCCCACAAAAACAAGACCGTAAATGCCAAACAGTAATAAATGGGGCTCGACACCATACTTACTGACTGACCGTCAGTCGCAATGTGACTTGGAATTGTAAGAGAACATAAAAGTGAGAGGAGAGTTCTGTAGTCACAATTGCAGCTAGCAGTTATAAGCAGAATTAAGAACTGAAGGAAGAGCTCAGAAGGGAAGTCAGAGAATCCAGAAGTGAAATACCAGAGGAAACAGAAAGTGTGAACTGTTATAATTGAGTGTAAATGTGTAGTAACTTCCAATAAACGCAACGACCAAATCAAAGAATCCACAATTATTTGTCACGGAACCCTGGCCACGTGACAATATGGATGTGGCTGCTTTCAGAGACGCATCTCAAACAACACAAGAGGTTGAATAGCGTTGTTTATGGTGCATAATGAAGATTTTCAATAACATGCTATAAGGCCAAGCATATTCCTAAGAGGCAAACCCATTTTCTCTCCAGAGAGGATGTTATGTAGGACTATTACCACAAGTATTCAGTTGAAAAATAAATTCTGGCCTTGAGTCTCAAGGGGCTTGGCGCCAAGACGAACTGATTCGCGGTAAACGGCCAGTTGTAAAGTAACTCTGACTCTGATAGGGGTTGTGAGTGATTGAGATTAGCTCTTTCTAGGGACACAACTGAATTGGCGTCTTCACCCCCACCTGAGGATGGAAACAGATCCAGTTTCTGAAACGTGTTTTATAGTTTGTAGAACACCAGATTATTGAAAAAGTAAAAAAAAAAAAAAATAATTTTGAGTGCTTAACATTTTCTTCTGCGTGCTGCTCTGTATATATTAGTGATGAATGATGATTCATCACATCAACCTTGATGATGGTGGAACAGATCTTTGAAACATAGGTCTTTAGCTCAAAATTGCCATAGACTATTGTCTGAGAAGGATTTTATATATATACACCGTGTTTCATATGTCCCTCCAGGATTTCGGAGGCCTATAGTTCAGAGACAAACTCGCCAACAGCGGCCGAGGGCATGTCAGTGAAAAAAGTACATAATCGTGTTTTCTTCTTGTTTTTTGTGCCTTGGCTTAGTTACCAGTTTCTCCACGATGTGGCAGTAGTGTGGAAACATGGAGTTTTTAGGTAGAGCGAAGTATTACTGTCTTGCAACTCTCTAAAATCGAGTCAGTTGTAACAGTGCAACGTGGTTTTCAAACCAAGTATCATACAGAATGACAGACGGACAAAGTAATAAGAGAGGGGTATAGGAAATTCGAGGAAACCGGCTGTTTGTGTGCCGCAAAAAGAACAGGCATGTGGAACTTCTGTAAGGTAGGTTAAGAACTTAATTATTTACTCTTCTCACTGACACGCTGTCGTCCCCTGTGGGCGAGTTTGTCTCTGAGCTACAGACCTCCAAAATTTCGGCGGGACTTATGAAACACCGTGTATATAATATATTTTCTGTATGAATTCTGTTTAACTCCCAATCAAGACTTTTCCAAATTTAGAGAAATGTTGCTGGGAAAGAAGACTTTAAATGGAAATTTTGCTGTAACATTTCTGTGTATTTCTTTACATCATGCCTATCACGTTATGCACATTATGGCACCTCATCTGTGACATTCATGTGGCTCCAGATTAGAAGTCTGATCATATGACACACAGCAGTGACAGAAAACAACCCTCGTTGAACCAATGCTTTCTCACTTACTTCAGATTCTAATATTTTTTTAAGCACAGTGACAATTCTTGTTGACATCTTTCATACATAAAAACAGGATGCATAGATATATACAGACAGACCTTTTCTTAGTTTGTGGCTCAGTTATGTAGTGACTAGGCTACAGGCTGGAAAGACCAGAGAATGACTGTTCTACTGTTGGTGAAGGGAAAGATTTTTCTATTCACAACTGTGACCAGATTGGTGCTGGGGCCCATCTGGCCTCCTATCCAATGCAAACTGGGAGTTAAGGGGCTGGGGCTGACCAATTGTCTGCACTATTGCCAAGTTAAGACTGATTGGAGCTATACCTACTTTCCCCAATATGCCTTCCTGGCATGTTGTTTAATTAAACATGGGAGCAGCAGTACCTTTACCTTATTTTGTGAAATAAAGTGACAGTTTGAAGAAAGCAGTCTTCTGGGATTTGGCACCGTGTATATGTGGTGTTAACCAAATCCCAGAAGACTGCTTTCTTCATAGTCACCGCCGTGAAAGCCTCAAATCTTACAAAGTGACAGTTTGTTAATTATGTGATAATGTGATTTATGTGAAGAAATGTGATAGAATATAGTAAATGTTGGTAAGTTCCTGTCTGCCTGTCACTGGTTTCTTGACTGGCTTAATCTTTGACACCCAGCGATGGAAGGAGTATGTTCCTCTGATATGTCAGTGAATTTATGATAGACTACGTGGTGCCACACACCAAAGGAGAGTAAACCTGCAAGCTGTATTTTGAGACACTGGCCTATTGGTGTTGTTGACACAATAATGATGAATATACTGCCATCATGGATTCACATCTTACATTATTCATTCATCTAATCAAAAGAAAAGCCAATTTAATTTTTGGGTTCTGTTGTGTTAGACTGTGTAAGCATTGCTCAAAGCTAAGAAACATTTTATTTTCCAATTTCAGTTTTACTTTGCAATTCACCCATTTCAAGTTTTGTCACATTCTGCACATTTGATTTAGTCACTACTAAATCAGTCGAGGCAGAGCCTGACACTGGAAATTCTGCATGAGATATATCAGATTGTAATGATACAGTGTCAGATTTTTCTGGTGAACTGCGTGATGCTGTCTCTAATATGACTGTATCATGTTCAATTATCCTCAAATCCTGTGGCCCTACAGCAGCTGATTTAGAGTCTACAGTTGGGAATTGTACAACATTTCTCTGAACTACCAACTCTTGTTTCATCAGATCTGAATGACTGAGAGTTGAAATTTCAGTCACTTTGTCAGCATTCTTGTGCAAATCATTCAATACTGTTTCATGATCCAGATTGTTATGCATGCCATTCATCACTATTTCTTGAGTAGTATTCAAATGAGTTGAGTCTATAGTTGCAGCTTTTTCGGTATTTGGATGAGCTGAGTATCTAATTGTAATATGTTCATCATTTATTTTCGCATAATTTTCCCCTACTTCCTGCTCCAAATCTGAGTGCACTGAACACGCATCTCTTAAACCTTCTTCACAAATGCATGTATTTGAGTCCTTGTTGCCCGAAGCTGTTTCAAGACTCTGGTTTATCTTGCTTGCCAGTGCAGGATCAGACTGTATTGAGGACTTTCTGTGAGATAGCTGTTGTACTCCTGCAGCTACATCTTTCTTGTGATTCTGAAACATGAAGTACAGGTATCCATATTCACGTTGATGTTTATTCTGTTCTTGGGTCTTTGCACCATGTAGAGGGGGCAGTGTTGCTGAAGTTTCAGAGGTACATGCTGCCTTCATATTCAGGGTTGAAGTGAGCTGTGTGAGTGTACTTCTAAAACGTCAGCAGCACCGCCCATATAGTGCGTAGACCCAAGAGCAGGATCGACAGATTACACCAGTATGGAGTTTGTGGTATACTGCATAGGTTAATCAAATCTTATCTTACAGGACACAATAAGGAAAAGTTGCACACATAACAAACGATCAAAAAAATATTTGTCAACTAACTTTCCAGTTACACATGGACCTCCTCAAGGTTCTGTTCTTGGTCACTTATTTTTCATTTTATACATAAATGATGTTCTGCATTTAAAACAAGGCAGAACAAATTATAAATCACTCCGTCCAATGTGACCTGTAAGTTTTTTACTACGTAAAAACTTAACACCCTTTTTACGTAGTAAAAAACTTACAGGTCACATTGGACGGAGTGATTTATAATTTGTAATTGTTATTGTGATGGACCAGAATGAAACAAACCAAGGCAGAACAGTTTTGTATGCTGATGACAGATCAATATTTAAGAAAGACAAGATATAATGAACCCCAAAAATCAACTTCAGATAATACAGGCATAGTAGAGCAATATTTTGAAACAAATAATTTATTTATAAATCCAACCAAATAACACTACATTCTCTTCAAGACAAAACAATGTAGGGGACAGGGAAATAAATAGAGTAGAAAGTACTAATTTCCTGGTGGCTATAACTGATAGTAACCTGAGGTGGGAAGTACATGTTGAAATAACTTGCCATAGAAAAAAAAATCACTGTGGTCTTAGTCCGCAGGCGAACTATATTGACTGAGTGACCGGCACTTGTTGGCGAAGTTAGTGCCCACTTTAGTGGTTAGAGGGTCATCACAATGAATTCCCACGGCTGTTAATTTCGGTTTTCTAGACCAGAGGATTTCCCATAACCTGTGTATAATTAAGAGACTATCAAAAATGTTTGATGTAAATGAAAGAAGGATGTTGTATTACGGTTTGATCCATCTGCTTTTGTCATATGGAATCGTATGTGGACAGATGCCAGGGTACTATGTAGAAGGATATTTACCCTTCAGAAAAGGCTATAAGGTACAGTGCAGTGTTAAAGAAATTGAAATTATGCAGGGATAGTTTCAGGCATCTAAAGATATTAACATTATACTTGTTATAATTCAAGAAACAATCTTATATGCAAACGAAAAGTATAACTACACTGTAAATAAACAATTACATACATGTAATGCAAGGGATAGTAATGATTGTCATAGATATGTACATAATTTGAAACTTAATAAACCATTAGTAGCAGGTTTTCTCTTCTGTAACAAATTGCCTAACAATATAGAACATAGGTAATAACACCCTTTTCAAAAAGTAACTGAAGGATTTACTTATTAAGGAATGCTATTATTCAATAGAAGATTATCTGAATGAATAATTCTCGAATACTGGTTGCTGATAAGCAGATGCATAGAATATGTTTTATTTCTAATAAGTTTTTTATTTATAACCATTATTCCAATAATTGTATAATATAGGGTAAACATGTCCTATATCAAAGTATTTGATCTGCAGTATGAATGAGAATGAATGAATGAATGAACACCAACATTGAACCACCATGAAAGCCTGAAGTCACATATTGGTGTTTGAGGCTGAAGGCTTTCACGGTGGTAAATAATGTGTACTGTCATCTGAGTTATGAAGCCATGTGGTATGTTAGATTTTTACTGGCATTTCAGAACATGCTGCTTCCACCTTCAGAGTATAAGAATTCCCTGAAGATGAAAGCAGCATGTTCCTCTGTATTGTCAATAAACATTACCAGCCTACACAATGCTACATCATAGAACACAGTAAACTCCAGAGGTATTGAAAGCTTTCAGACTCTTGAGTAGTACATGAAATGTAAAGGATGTATGTTAAAAATTAACAAATTAGAATGTGAGAATCGTACACCGAACTGATGGAGGATATTGTTCAATAGACTAGCAGCAATGACGGTGATGAAGCTGTAGGTTCGTGTATAATTTTGATGTCAACCAAGAAATTTAGACCAGGTACTAATGCTGCTGACTTGTATGTTGGAAGTGCCTGCTTTGATTCTCAACCAGGACACCAAATGTTCTGACTGAGAATTTTTATAATTTTCCTTACTCCCTCCAGGAAGGGAGTGTACCTCAAATTAGACCACACCCTCATCTTTTTACATTTTTTTCCCAATTCGTCATTTATGAGTCATCATACCATTCAATGCTATACAGTCTGACTCTGACAGCATTGTTAATTACGCCACAAATAAATACAGTAGATAAATTCTGATGTTGTATTTGATTTGGTTCATCCTGGTCCGTCACACTAGCAATATTATAAAAGGTTATCAATTCCATCCAGTGTGATTAATAAATGTAAGATTTGAGGCTCTCACGGCGCTGACTGTGAAGAAAGCAGTATTTNTTCGTGATTAATAAATGTTTTTTTTTCTCCTTCTCCTTTTTAATCTTTCATCCTTGACATGTTTTGGTCTGAGACACCATCATCAGAAGGACATATCAATACAGGTGAAAACTGCTATTACAGTGTCATTGATCAATATCAGTACATACACACAATATCATTACAATGTCATGAATAAAAAATCTGACCCTTTAACAACTACAATGATGTGCATGAATACATTAAAATATTTATAAATTATTAGTTTACAAATGTGGTTTAAAGAACTTTGTTAAAATTTAGAAACAGTTTGGTTTGTGTCCTTTATACTGCCTCTCTTTAAAGGAAGTTGAGTGTCTACCACCTTGTGGTTTGTTGTTTGACAAATAGAACTCTTTAGTGTTGTCCTGTTGTTTGGGCCACTCTGTGTTGTTATATCCTTCTGGAGATGGTCTCTCAGACCGAAACATGTCAAGGATGAAAAATTAAAAAGAAAAAAAACATTTATCAATCACACTGGACAGAATTGATAACCTTTTATAATCTGATGTTGTATTATACATATAATGTACATTTGCATAATTTTTATTCTTCATCTGATAATATTTTGGTGATTAAATTAAAGAAGATCAGATGAGTGCAATATGCAGCTCACAGGAAATTAAGAAAAGCATACAAAATTTTGTTCAGAGAACCTAAATGGAAGAACTCACTATTGATATGTAATGGAAGGTTACTATTAAGATAAATGTTAGTAAAAGTGGGTTGGTTGGCTTTTTTATGACACTAATAGTATCTAGGCTATACAACTTTGAATGGTGGGGTAGTAGTGAATTGGAAATGATCTGGAAGTAAGTGATCATGGCATAAATTTTGGTTTCTAAAATATTCCTGGAGTGATTTAGGAAAACCACAAAAATTCACTTAGGATAGCTAATGTCCTGTCTAAAATTCAATAAATATTGGATAGGAACCAGTGACTAATTTTTGGTGCCCTGAGAGCTGAGTATCAGCTTTTCTCAAGCAACAACCTACACTCTTAGATTTGGAATGATGTGTTACATACTTAAGTCTAATAGTAATAAAAAATTTTTGTTAGTTATAATGTTGAAAGAACAAAGTAAACATGGTCCATTTTGTTTTCCATCATGACAGATGATTCAGGTAGAATATATTATATAACAGACATCAAGGGACAATGCAAAATATTCTGTTATTCATTAAGATATGGAATGTAAGGCTTGTGGTATGGTATCTGTGTATATATGTACATCATTAAAAGTCCTACCACTTGATATCCTAAGCAACACCAATTTAGTTCACACCTTAATAATCTAGTAGTCTCTTATGGCCCATTCTAATATTATGCTCCCATTCATACCTGCATCTCCCACATGTTTTTTTCTTACAAAGTCTTCCTTTCTTCCATTCATAATGCATATATCACTCATTTCCACCTTCTTAATTACTTATCCTAATAATACGAGGGGCGTTCAAGTTCTAAGGTCTCCGATTTTTTTTCTCAGGACTGGGAGCAGATAGACACATGCGGTTTAGTTTAAAATACGTGTGCACTCTTTGTGAATGCATGACAGAGATGGCAGCACTCTACGGCACACAGAACTCTAGTGGTAGCGACGAGAGTGAGAAGTGTTTTTGATACTTAAGATGGCAACGTTTTCATTACAAGAACAGCGAGTAATCATTCGTTTTCTCCACTTGCGTGGTGCGACACCCATTGAAATTCATCGCCAGTTGAGTGAGACGTGTGGTGATGGTGTCATGAATGTGAAAAATGTGCGTTCGTGGGCGCGACAGTTCAAAGAAGGCCAAACGTCGTGTGACAATGAACCAAAACAATCTCGGCCTCGCACCAACCGGTCTGAAAACATGGTCGAGCGAGTTGAGAAAGTTGTTTTGGAGGATCGCTGATTGAGTGTGGAAAACATCGCCTCCAAAGTTGGCATTTCCGTGGGATCTATGCACACAATCCTGCATGAAGACCTGCGAATGCGGAAAGTGTCCTCCAAGTGGGTGCCACGAATTCTGATGGATGACCACAAGGCTGCACGCATGGAAATTTGCCAGGCGATGTTGACACATGATGAAGGCATGAGTGGGACTTTCTTTTCATCAACTGTGACAATGGATGAGACATGGATGCCGTTTTTCAATCCGCTATTGCATCAGCAATTTTCCAGTGGTCAAAACACACTCCTACAGAAGCGTTCGCAGCGGCCATGGAATCATGACGTCGACGTTGTGAAAAATGTGTACGGCTGCAGGGAGATTACGTTGAAAAGTGACAGAAGTTTCAAATTTTTTGTATGATTATTGTGTGAGAAAAAAAATCGGAGACCTTAGAACTTGAACGCACAACGTATATGTTGAAGAGAAAAAATTATGAAGCTCAAAACCATGTAGTTGTCTCCAGTCCCATGTTACTTCTTTCTTCAGTCCAAATACTTGCTACAGCACCTAGTCTATACACCCTTAGTCTTCATTCTACCCTTAGAGAGAAAACTCCATTGTTGTATAACTTAAAAAAACTGAAATGATAGCACTCTGTATATTTATAGTGTACAGCCTACTTTTCTCTGTGGTAGGTCTGTTTCATTCAACACATTGAAAATGTTAACAGACTCTGGGCTTGCTTGGTAATAGGAAAGAATAAGGAAGAGATTTCAGTTTGTCTTTTTTCTTCTGTTAAAATTTTAGCAGTGAGTTACCTTCAGACATTGCCTACTGTGGCCATTAGCTTGATGATGGTTATTGTCATTGTCTACTGCGACTGCCATCAAGTCTTGATCATTATGTGTGCAGCAGTGGAGGCTGTAACAACCCAGCTCTTGACATTGAACCAGACAACGATATTCATGGAATTTTGGCAGCTGCATTAAGTTGGTTTTGTTGTCCATCTGGAATTAAAGTGAATGTTTCTCATCCTCAGCTACTGAACCAGCCCAATGCTCAGCCGTAATTAACAATAATATACAAAGTACATAAAATGAGTGCATATTTCGGAGGTCATGTCAATCTGTGAGATTACAATACCATGGAACAGCATCATATGTGCATTTAATTAATGCAAATTCAACCATTCCTGCTCACACGCACACACACACACACACACACACACAAAAAGAAACCCTGAAATCCGAAAGAGAGGGCAGCTGAAGACAATGTGCCTGTGTTGTTTCATGGCAATGCAGTTGTGCATTTAATAAAGCTGGGCTTGCTCTGCAGGGCTGCATATCCATGTACCTCACAAGGAAACAAGTGAAAGCTCCTGCCTTTGATCTGGCAATCAAATAAAGAGGCTTGGGCAGTGCCAGCATTATTTCTGGGTTTGTCCAACTAGCGTTTCATTCCAGAGGTCTCTTAATTTTGTCCATTATGTATTTACATAAAACAGGATACATAAAGCATGTACTTCATTGGCAATCTGAGGAATTATCAAGGGTAATTCTGACTATATGTAATTTTGGGTTTATGTATTGTCTTTAGAATGTAACCTCATGTATGATGCGACTCCATTGTAATGACTGTGAACATTACTGTCTCCTGGGATGCGTTACTGTGTAGTCTGACAGATGTTTACTAGTGTTTCAGAGGAATGTTGTGCCATTGTCCCCGTCTGTAGTAACCACCTGTGAGACTATATGGTATCATATCATAGAAAACAGAATCTACATACATAGTTAGTTATGTACCATAAACTCCTAGTTATCCTGCATCCAACCATCTAGATTCCTCATATCGCCAGCAAAAAATTAAAAAACAGTGTTGCTATAAAGTTATTCAGAAGCAAATTTGCAATACACATGCATTAACTTGCCATGTGGTAGTTATCCCAGCTGCCATTAGCAGTGGTACCTGTTGTCCTCCCTCAAGCAGGTGCCATTACAGTAGAACAAACTATCTAGCTAGCTAGCTAACTAACAAACTAACTAACTAACTACTATTAGAACTCAGATGTATGACAGTGTCTTTTATCCAGTTAGCCAGTTAAATCCAGTAAACAGCTTTGTAATCTCTCTCTTTTCCATATACATATAAAAGAGCCCTCGGTACCAATTTGCTGCCTTATTAACATATTTAAATGCAGGATATTATGATGAACTGCACATGTAGAGTAGAAATGGTAGGAGATCTGCTGTAAAATCAGCTTTTGTAGCTACCAGTTGGAGAACTGAGAAAAAGGAGCAAGAATAACACTAAAATTGATCTTGATGCAGGTTGGAATGATATTTGTATTTAGTATATTTAATAAAATTATTATGATCTAGACCAGGGGTCTCCAAACTTTTTGAACCGCGGGCTACATTAGGTAATTCAGCACTTTCAACGGGCTGGATAAAATGATAAATTAATAGCTCTAGGTATATGAGTTTTATTAAAAGCACAGAATTTTATAAACTAGATAAAAAGTACATGAGAATAAATTATCATATATTAATGACAACAGACAGTAGCAACAAATGCTCATATTTCCATCACTAATTATAATAAAGCCATTAATGTGAATGATGGAATTGTTTTTGCATTCTTAAAATCTGATTAAATCGAGGTTCAAATTTTGAAACGCTAATCACAATTAGCGACTTTAAATGTTCATCGGATAAATTGCCCTATATTTCGACTTGATGTACAGGGTCCGGCAAATCGACCTCCCGTATTTCAAAAGGCAGTTACAAACAAACAAAGAAAGATACACAAAAAATACTTTTATTTGTGAACAACAAATACGATGCTATTTTACATTACTTGGTTTTAAAAATTATTTCCGGTAAATGGCGTCCTCCATTGTTCACACATTGACAAAGCCTTTCCCGGAAGTTGTCCATAGTTCTTCGTACCATTTCCGGTGGAATGGCAGCCACTGCCTGGGTGATTGCCTCCTTAAGTGCTTGCAGGGTTGTGGGGCGATGTTTGTACACTTGCGCCTTTAAGTGTCCCCAAAGGAAAAAATCACAAGGTGATAAATCGGGTGACCTTGGGAGCCAGGCGATGTCTCCTCGCAAAGAGAGAAGACGTCCAGGAAACAACTCTCTCAGAATTGCTAAAGAACTCCGCGAAGTGTGAGCTGTGGCTAAGTCTTGTTGGAACCAGGCTTGTCCCTCTTCATGGTCCCCAACAAACTGGTTTAACTTAGTGGAGGAAGGTCTCGATCATGTGACAGTAGCGATTCGAAGTAACTGTTACCATTAGCCCATTTTCCTTGAAAAAATAAGGACCCCACACACCAAATTCAGCAACGGCGCACCAAACTGTCACACGAGGGCTGTGAAGTGATCGTTGGTGAAGTTCCTGAGGGTTTTCTGCTGACCAGTAGCGGAAATTTTGTTCATTTACAGTACCTGACAAGTGGAAGTGGGCCTCATCAGATGAAATCAAAACAGCGCCAGAGGGAATGTTCTGAAGAATGTCCTCACATGCAGCTTTGCGAGTTTCAAAATCTCTCTCACTTAATTCTTGGGTAACCATCATTTTGTATGGGTGCATGTGTAGATTTCTGTGCAGGATTCTTCTTACACTCCTATCAGACAATCCCAGGGCAGCTGCATGTTTAAGTGCTGAACGCTTTGGAGATTGCTGGATGGACGCTCTCACACGCGCCACATTTTCCGGCGTTGTTACGGTCCGAGGTCGGCCAGGCGATTTCTTTTTCAGTGCAGAACCTGTTGCTCTAAAGTTTGATACCCAAACGTGAATAGTTTTTCTATCCGGAACAGGATCATGTTGGCCAAGTTCGAACCGAATGCGAAATGCTCGCTGAGTAGTAATCACCGATTCACCATTATGAATATACTCTTCCACAACAAATGCACGATGCTCACCGTGCCATGCCATTGCGACTACTGCAAATGGCACTTATACCGCTATCGATCGATACCCCCTCCACCACCGTATCCCCACCACAACTCACACAGCGCCCTCTCCAAATACGGGAGGTCGATTTGCCGGACCCTGTACTTCATCTGGGAAAAAAGTTTGTTCACACAGATATGTCGTCCCAAAAATGGAGATAAATTTATGAGCAAATTTCTTTAAATTTGGAAATTGCTCAGAGCTGAGAAATTTATAAAATTCGATAAAATTTCCTTTCTTGTATTTGTCTTTAATATGATAATTTTCCTGAAGTTCAATAATTTCCATTTGAATTTGACTTGGGACATCTGCATCATCACAGTCAAACGGATTTTGAAACAATCTAATTTCCTGAGCACTGGAATCCAAATCAGCAAATCACTTCCGAAATTGTTCTTTCAAATCTAAAATGACTAAATTTGCAAACGNTAAGTGCAAATAAATCACAGACTAAGTTATTTTCACCCTGCAACTTTAAATTCAAATGTTTCATATGGTTCACCAGATCAGCAAAACTGCTAATTTCCAAAGCCACTCGGTATCTGATAAAAGTGGTTCGTGATGGTTTTTCTCGGTAAGAAATATATCAATTTCATTCCTGAGCTGAAAGAAGCACGAAATAACCTTTCCACAGCTAAGCCATTGAACTGCAGTATAATGTGTCAGGTCAATAAGCTCGGAATCACACTTACCAGTACTCACTGGAAAATTAGTTCAATTGGCGCATTTCTGCAGAATTCTTTCGCGGGCCGGATAAAATCACATCGCGGGCTGTAGTTTGGAGACCCTTGATCTAGACTGATATTGGCAGTTACATGTTCATGAATCATGCCATATTATGAAATGTTCTTATTTATATCAAATTTACCCGGTGACTGGACAGGAAATGGTGACATCTTATTTGAAGGTGCCTTCCCAGGACCACAGAGAAATGCTACACACCTATGTAAGGATAGTTGTTGTTTGGTTACTCTCCTCTTTATGGCTGATGCCCAGTTCTTTTCTTTCTTTTTTAGTATCCTCTTGTGTTCTGGTCCCCATAAGTTTCTTGGTTCAACTACCCTAATAGTTCTTGCAGAAGAGTTTTCTTATTATACAACTTTACCACTTCTATCATAGATTCAAATGCATATTGTCTCATTGTCATTACCTTGAAAAATTCAGGCTGGATAGTCACCTGTGTGATCCCCTGGTCATGGAAGAACTCAGTCACATCCTTTGTAATTCTTAGGTAATCCTGAAAGATCAATTTCTGTTAATATACAAATTATACTGAAGAGTGTAATTCAGCATTGTTTGCCCAAAGAGATTTGTCTTGGCTTAACCCTTTCCCTACCATAAAACAATTCAGCTAATGAGATGGCTTCTGCTTTGGCTTCAATGATCCAGGGTAGTTGATGCCCACAGATTGATGTACTGTTCCATGTATAGTAAAACATACATTCAACCATGTATAAACCAGGGGTCACAATATATATATCACCTGCTTTAACATACTAGAACTCTGAATTTTGCCCAACTAGTGTAGTTCTGTTTTTTGTATGGTATTAATTGGTTTATTATTGTAGCAGAGATGTAATATGTTTTGTGTGAGGTATAAACTGAAATTTTATGTATTATTTAGAAGAAATTCAGCCCTTAGAGGATTAAGGTTCCTTTGAGGAGCAGTAGATTTTAATACTAAACTGAGGAATATCTTAAATGGAGGGCATCTGACACTGAAATTACTGACTTGGAATCACTGAAAATGAATGATAAATGAAGAAAATCATTAAATTGCACAAGATTAAATGGGGTTTCTGCTGTAACTCTTAAATGTTAAGAAATTTCCTGACTATGCAAAATATATTTATTTCAATATTTTCTTTTCTTGGATGATGAAGTTCCTGTTACAGTTTTTCCAATGTAGCTTGACACAGGGCTTGGCAGTAAGATGGTCTAATAGGATGTGTACTTGAACATGATATCAACCTATCAGAGATGATCAGCCTAAAATGTGATTTTCTTAAACTTATGGTTATGCCATTGGATTCATACTGAGGATGAATTTTTTTAAACCCCACCCACAAGAACTACATCACTGCGATTAGAGAAGCTCAAGTATTGGGACTGAAATCTGCAAATATAGTCATGCTGTATATACAAAACAGAAATTGTGGAGGAAAAGCAGTCTACACAAAGGAAGTCCTGAATTTATCCTGCTTTAGAGAACTTTATAAGGCATAAATGTAAACTTCTGTTTTACTTTGTGAAATTATATTCTTCTGTGAGTGTCATCAACTGTCCTAGGTTACAGTAAATCTGCAGTTACTTGCACCTACCCTTGAATTAAGGAATATGATATGTGCTGTCGAGAACACCTTCGTGGCCGTCAGTCTCCATATATGAAGATCATGGACATTAACGATATCTGGGAAGGCTTTTAACAACTCACTGCGCAGTGAATCTATGTTGATGGTATCTGGAATTGTTTGCAGTAAAATGGAACTAGACTCTTTCACTGAAAGTAAAACAGAAAAATTATGCACTTATTGTTCATTTAAACAAATACCCTTCATTATATGTAGCTAAGAATGAGGAAAGAGTTGAGAAATGTTGAGTTGAAGCACTTTGTTGTATACCAAAAGAATATACTTACTATATGGATAACTCAGAATTAACAGCAGCACAGCAGAGAGAATGGAGAGTGCTGGATCAACATATTTTGCAAAATTCTCCTCCGTGAAATATACAATCAAGGCACAAAGTATCACAATTAGACAGCCTGAAATCAGGTTACACAAATAATATTGTGATTCAGTGTCCTTCAATAATAATAATGTCATTCATTTGGCCACGTCATAGCTCAGGTGGTTAGTCAGTGGCTTTCCACTGCGGTGGCTTGGGTTTGAGCCTGGGTCTGGTCATGTGGGATTTGTGGTGGACAAAGTGGCGCTGGGGCAGGTTTTCTCCGAGCACTTTGGTTACACTGCCAATGATCATTCCACCAATTGCTCCACAATCACCCTCATCTGTCACCTGGGGCTGGTACAATAGGCCAGTAGTGGCTGCAGTACCAAGTGGACCCAGTCTCACCCCACTAAGAATAATAATTGTCATTCATTTTAGGTATGTGTATGCATGCTTGCATGTGAATGTATGTGTGCACACACATGTTCAGAAAATAGTCAACAGTAAGTATGTTACCTTTTACTGTTAGAATGTATGAATTATATGTATGAACCTTCTGGTAAAGTGAGACACCCAAAAATGATAAAAGTTTTAGCAAACTTAATGCTTAATGCATGGAAGAAGGGGAAAGGAGAAGGAGGAAGAGGAGGATGAGATGGTGGTGGTAGTAATCTTCCCTTTCCTTCTGGTGAAATGTAGATGTACTATTGGCAAAGTGAAATGAGGATTTTCTTGATATTGTTTTGTCCCATTAAATTAGATGACTGAAGTAACGGTACTGAGTCACCATCTTGTTTATCCAGACTGGATTTTCTTAACTTTCATTTATGAGGATATATTGATTTTCATAATGTGACATGGGGAATTGATGACACAGCCATCGGTAGGCAATGGCACAATAAAGAGTAACGCAATCATGGGATACATCATGCCACGCAACATGACCAATGGAAGTACTGCTGGGAACGGTGAACTCTGTGGGTCTGTGCCGAAAGTGACATCTTGCAAAATAGAATGACTGTGGGAGGCTGTGTTTCCTGTTAGGTCCATCCTGAGGCTATATCACAAGGACCAACGAGAAAAGCCAGTCAGGTGAGAATGTAGAGAGAAGTCTGGAAGGAGCCTGCAAGCAGACAGACCAGTCCGAACCTGAGGCTGCTGTGAGACAGTTGCCCCTGGTGGAGGCATAGGAGCCCCTATCATTGTAAGTTGTGTAGCAACACAAAGTTAGTTGTGATACAGTCACCAGCCAGTAAGGACATGAACACAGAAGCTGTTACCAGACAACCAGTGAAGACACAGCAGACTGAGACAACAGTGTGTGTTAATTAGTGATAGCACTCTAGTTACTTGTACCTATGATCTGTAAGAGTCCAATAAATCTGATTACCAATCTAAACCCCACTCAATCACATGACAATCCTGTGACATGGCAGCTGAAAGACAGGAATAATGGAGCCAGAAGAGGCGGCTTTTGCTGAGGAACAGCTGATAAACACTTCTGTGACAGTGAACATGTGAAGCAGTGTCTCCTATCAAGTCTGACCCAAGGCTATAGTCAGCACAAACTGGACAACTCAGACGAGAATGTGAGTGCATTTGGAACAATTGGGTAGGTGCAAGACAGTCCCCAGCCGATAATGATGTGAGCAGAAGAGGACATTGTTGGAACCCATTGCCAGGCATCCGCTAGTGAAGATGAACTGAGAGGACTTAGTGCATGCTGTAGGAGCAGCAAAATATGTGAATTAGCGAGAGTGCTGTAATTACTTGTAGTTGTGATTTATAAATGTTCATTAAATCCAATGACCAATTCAAACTCTGTGTCTAGTCACATAATATATGATAGTGTGTATGTTCTCCCCAACCAACAAACATAAGAACCAGGAACAAGGTTATTGTTCACAATATTGGCCTGTGCCAGAAACAAGACTCTTCACAGATGGGAACATCTATCAAGTCATCTTTGGAAACCATATTAAATATTCAAAAAAATCTCTTTGAGTGTGGACATTTGTTCTGATGTCTTTCGTTTCATTTCTTTTATTTGATGGGAGATAACATAGATGTCATAAACAAAAACAAAAAAACTTTAATTGACCTTAGTAAGGAGGTTGGTCTAGAAGTAAACATGGAGAAGTCTAAGTATATTTCGCTGCTTCATCACCAGATTGTAGGGCAAAATCATGACATGTAGATAGTTAACAGATGTTTTGATAATGTGGTACAGTTCAGATATTTGGGAATGACTATAAGAAATCAAAACGTGATTCAGGAGGAAATTAAAAGGAGATTGAATTTGGGTAATGCTTGCTACCATTTAGTCCAGACCCTTTTGTCTTCTCATCTGTTGTCTAAAAACATAAAAATTAGAATATACAAAACTATTTTTTTTTACCTGTGGTTCTGTATGGGTGTGAAACTTGGTCTCTGATATTAAGGGAGGAACACAGAATGAGGTTGTTTGAGAACAGGGTGTTGAGGAGAATATTTGACCAAAGAGAAATGGAGTGATGGGAAGTTGGTGAAAACTGCATAATGAGGGCCTTCATAACTTGTGCCCGTCTCCAAGTATAATTAGAATGATCAAGTCAAGGAGGATTAGATGGGCAGGGCATGTAGCACGACCAAGACGTTGGATGGGAGGATAATATTAAAATGGATCTTAGATAGGATGCTGTAGTATGGACTGGATTGATCTGGCTCAGGATAGGGACCAGTGGATGGCTCTTGTGAACATGGTAATGAACCTACAGATTCCATAAATCTTGGGCAGTTCTTGAGTAACCGCACCAGCTTCTCAAGAAGGGCTCAGCTTCATAAAGTTAGTTGGTTTAGTTAGTTATTCAGTGTTTCTGTTCAGACAACAGGGTACAGGCACAAGTAAACTGTTTATTTGGATTTAATGTTTATGACATCAGCCTTACCTAAAACATCACGACACATTTCTCGTAATCCCTGTCGCTGTAATACCTGAGGTGAAGTGGCAGTGTTATTAGTCTCAGCCGACAGGCGACGCTGCCCTTTCCGCACAGAGTCTTTGTTTACTGAACGATCCAAAATGACATCACCGCTTGGTGTGACATGTAAGAAACTTCCCTGGTTCAGTGTGTATCCTGAAATAATAGGCTTCCATAAATGTTCAGCATGTGCCCCAGGCTAGTAATAACATTTCAGGTTAGTTGTCATTATTTGAAGTGTACATATTGTGGAATATTTGCTCGAAGGAAGAACTGTGGAGGCAGAGAAACAGCTGTTGCTAGGTAATTCCCCCCAAGCAACAATAGAGGAGGTGTCACGATACGTGACCCGTATACCCATTGCTATGTAGCGCCAGCAGCATACGCATGCGCGGTGGCGTCACGGAACGATAGAAGAGGCTATGCAAGCGGTGTTCGCTGTGGGTCCACTCCAAGTCTATATGACTCGATCTACCAAGTTCTGTTCAGAGAGAGTGCAGTGCAGTTGAGGTCGCAGTTATGGAGTGTTAACCAGCGAGCAGCAGATGCTAAAGAATCTCCATTGCTAAGATTCTTTACCAGGAAACGTCCAGTGAAGTCACTGCAGAGGAACAGCCATCGTGGAAAGATGCTGCCAAGTAAAGACTAGTGAAAGCCGGTCATGGTAGCCGAACGGTCTAAGGCATGCACTGTCTTCACTCGCTCGGAAGCCGGGATCGTGGGTTCGAATCACACTCAGGGCATGGATGTTTGTGTGCGTTTTTCTGTGTTTGTCTACAGGTAGAGGCCTTGCGACGAGCTGATCACTTGCCCAAGGAGTCCTACCATATGTGTAAGATCTAGAAAAACCGAAATGAACGGAGTTCATGGAGGTAGGCCTAGGCCCACTGGGGCTGTAGTGCCAAGGAAAAAAAAGATGACTAGTGAAAACAGAAAGAGAAGACTTAAGTATAGAATGATTTGTAGTGTGGAAATCAGCAATAGCGTTATAGTTATTTGTAGTTATGACGTGTAAGTGGTCAGTATATGTATTAATCAATCCATCCCATCTGTAGTCACCAAGACATATGACTATGATTTATATGCTATAACGCATTTAACTAGGCAACGACGCGATAAACACCTCGCTTAAGGTCACGCAACAATAGGACGTTTGTTTATAGCTCGTTACTAGTCAACAGTCAGCGAGCCAATGGGCTTGCGAAAAATCGTTATCACGTGACTTGATTTCTGTGTGGTCTGCGGTACGCAGCAATAAAACTGTTATAGCCGATTATTCCTTTTTAATAATATACTTTACCAAATTGGAGGCACGCGGTAGCGTAGTTGGTTGAGGCATATGCTACAAGCCGGAAGGTCGCGGGCTCAAGTCCCGATGAGGTCATTGGATTTTTTCAGTTGACCTAATCCTTCCGGCCGCATTATGGCCCTGAGGTCGACTCAGCCTCTAGGGAGTAAAGGGTGGCCGGCGCATAAGGCTGACAGTCTTGCCGCCATCTATGAGCCGATTGTGTAGATTCTAGATGATCAAGTTACTTTCTGCCCTGAAGATGGAGGCAGTAAGTTCATCTGAAACGTTGATAACGATCTACCGGACAACATAGCCACACATACCAGAGTAAAATAATCTTCATTCTGTTAACAGGCCTACAGATTTCTGATACCTGTAAGTTCTTACCTAACACTTCTGTAATATAACAATGCCTGTAATTTTCATAACACTAAACTGGTTTTATATAAAATTGTGACATGTTTATAATCATTTTCTGTAACGATTTTAGGTGGCTTTATCCAGTATTTACACTAATGAATAGATATTCTTTTTACAAAAAGTGTCATTAAATAAACTGTAAAAAGGCCATACTATCATGCTAGTTGGTGGAAACATTTGATGTTACCTAGGTGCCATAAGTTCTCCCAAGGCTTCTTGTAAGTATTATCCCATCTGTATCTTACTTTCCCACATGGTCTCTGCACAGATGTCCCACCCAAAGCTTTATGTTTTCTTACCCATATGTACAGCTTGGCTGTGCCTGAGTATGTAAATCCCCAAAACTATGCTCCATGACAAGGGCATACTTACCGCCTATCAGAAGATAACACAGTCCATTCAGCAGCAAGCCAGTAGCTCCGACACACATTACAGGAATAGGATGATGCATTTCATCTTGATGATCAATGTGTACCAAAGTCTGGAGAGCTTCCACCACTAGTGAGAAGCATAGAGATGCAAGGAACACAAAGCCACTCAGCATCACTAGAACATCAATCCTAGCCCAGCCAAATGTGTTCTTCAGCTTCTTCTCCTCTGAGCTGCTGACATGGTTGTGATGGTGATGTTGATGACGTTGGTGATGTTGGGCACACTGTATGCAATTATGTAACAGAGGGGTCATATTTTATTTGTATACCTTAAGATCAGTTTACATTGAAATCAATGGTGAAGCAAACTTTCATGGCTAAATTTATCATAAAACAGTAAATTTCCCAGGAACCAGCCCAGTATAGGCTGGGTTCCATTAATTTTTAAAACACAAACCCAAAGTTGCCATGCTGATACTTTCTAGAAGAGAAATTTTCATTAAAATGTAAAAATATTTATAAGCTCCCATGATACCAAAATTTGTGTGTCAACATTTTTTCATAAATTTTACAATTGCAAAAGTAAAAATATTTCATGCAGTTTACATCTTATATAAAATCACCTTTAATTAATACACCATAAGAAATCAGACTGTCAATTTTGGATTTCTTTATGCTAAAGATGTATCCACATTCTTATCTTTCTCTCTTAAAGAAACAAGTGTTGTCCTTCAGTGCAAGAGGCAAGTATAACACCCTGGCATTAACCCAGAAGTAACAGCTCATTGGTGTAAAGGTAAAGACATTGGTGATGATATTTCACTTACATCCTTCTGCCCATTTTGCAAACGCTAATTGACATGTACATTTCAGGTGAGAATGTAGGTTGCAGTGCAGGTAATGATGTTGCTTATTGCTGTATTAAGCATATGAGTGATCTGGTGTGCATGAAGTTCTTGGTATAATAAATTATTTATACCAAGTCAGAAAGAGTAACAACTATTTTAATGAGTATATCAAAATTTAATATTTCCTTTATGTGTGTTCTCCTCGTTTTACAATCACTCTCAGTGCACAGAGTAAAAGCTAAATGGGAAGTGTCCCTTTGTTGCGTGCTTTACATCCCAAGCCATTTGATAAATTTTGATAAAATTTACCATCATAAGACTAAATATAACATTGTAAAGGGAACTCAAGCTTAGTCTCTATTGCCACACAGATACAAGTTCGTGTGGAGCCATAAGGGTTACAGAATGAAATGAGATACAGTCTTGAAACTGAAATAACTTTTAATGATAGTTGCTGTTTTTTGGAACATTTTTGGAAGATTAAGAAGTTAACATTCTTACTCACATCTCTTGAGTCATTGATATGTGTTACTGCGTTTTGCATCACACTGTTGTTCATATATCAAAATTTTCAGTTTCCATACTTTTTCGTTCATATTCTCCACTACATAAAATGACTTTTCCAAAAGAGAGCAGAAGAAGCAGTTTACACTTAGTAAACTGAAGATTTAAAATAATTGAATATCAAAATCAATACAGATTCTAAAGGGGTTCTAACAATGGTGAATAATACTCAGAGTAACTGGGTTTTTGGACAATGGCCAAAGTCCAAAAACCCAGTAATTCTGAAAACCAGTACAGTCAATATATCCCTTCCAAAAGGGGGTGGAAAATATGAGATCCGAGTTTCTCATGGCAATGAGTATGATATTGCAGTCTTCCGGGATGTGGCAGCATATAATATTGTAGAGAGGTACAACGTTGCTCCAAAACGTTTGTACCTGTTTACTGTGCTGAAGACACATTCCAGGAGATCATATTTTAATAAAGGATTAAATGTTCCAACAGTAGCAAGGAAGTGATTATAAGGGGTTTCCCCATTTAAGAGAAGCAATCCCAGCTAATGCTTCTATCCATTTTAGCCTAAAAGCCAGGAAATTTACTTACCACTGTACATATTAGGGAACAAACAAATGAAAGTGTACAGGCAGGAAAGCAGCAGACTGTGAGAGGAGCTTACCCCTGCTGTGGCATTATGATTGTGGCAAGGAGATGCAAGAGGAATCGTGATACTGGGGAGCACATCTCTATTCTCTGACTCTTTGCTGCTTTGTTCCTCCTCTCTTTCCACATTTGCACTTCCATACTGTGTGCAAGCAACAGAGAAAGAAGCGTCAGAAAGGAGAAGCTGAAAGAATATCACCCAAAGAAACAAAGCATCTGCAACTTCTTCCAAGTTTCCACAGGTACAGAAATGTCCCTGTACATTATGGTTAGTCACAGTAATAACTGCTTCAGTGAATGTCACATCCAGGAATACCATGCCACATTTAAGTGACAGAGAAGTGGGCTAGTCTGCAACATACAGGAAGAATAATTTATATAATTTAAAACCATACCAGCACTTACTTCAATGCTCATGGAAAAGGATGATGGCCATCATGAATTGTCTGCATGGTACCTAGTGCTTTAAAATAAGTTTCAGACTTCATTGATGATACACCAGTTGATCTAAGCGTAATGGTTCAAGTTTTGTTTCTTTTCAGGAGTGTAGGATACATACTGTATTGTTTAAAATCTATCCTTTGAGAACTGTTATTAAAATTTATTCACTTTCCTGCTTTTAGGATAGAATATATATTTGATGCACTGCTCAAAATCATTCTTTCAGAAGCATCAGACAAATGTCTCCCACTTTCATTGCAACTGAGGTTATCATGGCAGTGGCAATGAACAGTACCATCTTCTGCGATGTCAAACTGTCTGGTAGAAGTTTACCAACTTTTGGGGGAATGAACTTCCTCCATATTTACTGTCAACAAATAAGACAAGCTACCAGAAAGAGCCTCTGCATGCTACTTACTTCTTACCAGTTGATTGCTTGACTTATTCTTGAACCATGAAGTAAATGGCAGCTGTTCCCTGAAACATCAGCGAACTTATAGGAAACTATATGGAATTAATCTCCTGCTTTCGCTCTTTATGATAGAGTATGTACTGTTTAAAATTTATTCTTTCAGAATTGTGGCTGAAGTGAGAATGAGTTCTTTGGTACTACAGCCTCAGATGGGCTCCTTATACCAGCCACTTATGACTGATGAGTATGGAACAGTGCAACTTAATCCATCAAAAACCCCACATACGCTACTCTCAGATTGAACTCAGGTCTCTGCAGTGAGAAAATGGAAATTAATTGCATGACCTACACGTATTTATTACCCATTCAAAAGCAAGTGTAATTCCATGAGGAGATCTTATAACCCCTCAGTAGATGCAATATATACACGTTGGTGTCAGATGAAATATCCAATCTGAATGATCAGGTGGCCAAAAGATCCATCCAGAGGAAGCAAAATTCCTTGGGATTTAAATATTGGAATAGAGCAGATATAAATATGGAGACCCATGCTTGGGATAACAGGAATGAATGTCTAAACAACTGTTTACAGAAGAGACGGTTCTTTCAGTGGGGTTATTACAGAAGATAATTTGCTGGAACATTCAAAGGAAGGAAAGCCTCCGATACATTATCCAACGTTTGACTGATGGTCTTGCTAGGAAATAGTCAAATGAACTATCCAAAGAAACTAAAAAGGACCAAATGGAAAATTATTTTCTTCTTACTTCAATTAATCAAAAATATGGTAGGTCATGAATCCTATTAAAAACAAAAAAGAACTAATCAATCAAAGTCCAAAACCTTTCATATTATTATTGGTTGCCTAAATTAAGTAATTAAAATGTAAAAGTATCATGGCTAAGTAAGGTAAGGACTGAATTAATTATAAGCTTTGTTTTACATTTTTTATATACAGTATGCGCCAAAATATGCAGTACTGAAACTCGCGCATCTCGAACGCGCATGTGTGTTTGTTGACGGGACATAGCTCCAGCTGTACGTGTTCCCAATAGTGAGAAGGAAGTTTTTTTATGCAGTTGTTGGAAATGGGTCTCTCGACAGAGGAAACACTATTCATAGTTGAGTATTATTTCTGCTCATACGGAAGTGGTCGTGAAGGGGGACCAAGTTTGAAAAAGGTGACAGAACAATTCCAAGAGAGATTTAATAAGACAGTACCAAGTAATACAGTTATGCTGTCTGTTGTTACAAAAATTCGCCATTCTGGTAGTGTATTGTGTCAATTGAAGGGGAAGTCTGGTCGACCAGTAACTGTTTCGACAAAGGCAATGCTCTTACCGTCACCCAAGAACGCTACAGGGACATGGTGATCGGACTAGTTCTTCAGGATTTGAGAAGGTTCTCTCGTGCAAGGGGCCTTCACATGAATAGACAGTGGTATCAACAGGATGGGGCGACCAGCCATACTGCTTGAGGATCTCTAGCCATGCTGCAGGAAAACTTTCCAAGACGAATCATTTCACATGGTACTGACTTCCCATACCTGTCCTATTCCCCCGATCTTGCACCACCTGATGCCTACTTGTAGGGAATGTTAAAGGAGAGTGTGTTCAACTGTGAAGATCTGCCAAGAACTGTGCCTCCATTATGCGAGCAAATTGTCTCCTTTTGTAGGAGTCTGCAGCAAACTTTGTTCCAGGATATGATTGAGAATCTGCGTGAACGATATGAACACTGTCTACAGTGAGGCGGTGCACACTTCGAAAACTTACATTACGCGTACTGTGGTAAATCAACACACTAATAGTGTCTATGTTAGTTTCTTTCAGGAGAAATAAACTCACAGATGACAACAATGTAATATTGTTTGTCATTTCATTTCAGTACTGTTAGTTTTGGTGCACGCTGTACTTTAAATTGTATGCTTAAGTATGATTTGATAGATTTCATAATTTAATTTACCAGCAAAATGGGAAACATGCAGTAACTCATTTCTAGGTATACAGAATTCTCATTCCATAACCGTATTTTATTTCTTCTATGTGACTCCTCTTGGACATATAACTGTGCAAGCCATAAATGCTATTGGTTGGATCCCAGTTTTACAGTGTCTCCTTGTGGAAAACATTTTAATCCATCACTCAGGATCATAATGCAAGGACAAGAGCCTTTTCTCCACACCATCCAGTTTAGCTGTGGGTTCCACACAGCCTCCTAGGAAATTGATACTGAGAGCATTTTCCCTAGTGGTAAGGTGACAGGAGTGTGAAGCTAATCACTCACCTCCATCTAGTGCCAAAGTTAATCACTCATGGAACTATACTCCCCTTTGCCATACATCTTCATGACGTGGTATTTAATGAAGTGCAGAGACTTTACTCAAAGATGAGAATTAGGCTAAGTACGTTAATGTGTCCAGGGGAGATTTCAAGGACGGTTCCCAGATATGGAGCAGCCAGGTTTCAAAGAAACATGCACAGAAAGCTAAATAAATATGGAATTTCGGTTCTAATACATGTTAAATTACAACATATTAGCATGTTTCTTAAGTTTTGCTACCAGGATTTTGTAGCTACCTATGTAATTTTCTCCATTTACCCATTACTCCATGATTCTTTAAGTCCAAATTTTATTTTCAGAACTTTGTACTCAATGCAAATTGGTTCCTTATCACATTCTTCATGATCTATTTATAATCGTTTGATATCATATCTGAGTGTCATGCACTCATTACCTTATATGTTATATGTAAAATGTGCCATGGATATTATGATTAAAATTTGTTTTGGTAGTGAGGTTATGTTCAGTCTGTGTTCAGTGTATAGTTACAATAATTTTTGGCACCATAACTCTTTGGAGTCCAGTGGCTATTGCCTGCTGCCTGCTTTCATATTTAGAAACTCTGCATTTTTTGCTCATACAGTGTGTATTTATGGGTTCCTCTGATTTCTAGAATAAACAGTTCATATAGTTGATGTTTGTAAAAGAGATACAGTATATTTTGTGTGTGGTAGGAACAGAATCTTTAATATTATTTAATGGACTTCAGGCTTTGTTAGGTGATTCAACAAATTATTTCATGAATACCCAGGCTAGCAAGCAGTGCTCATTTTATGGATATCTTCCATCCTCAAAATTTATTGCCAGGCCATTGGCTTGACATGTCCCCCCAGTTTCCTCCTCTCTTTTTGTTACATGCTAACAAGGGTTGATTTGCTGGATAAAATTACTGGATTTTGGTCTATTACACTATATCACTGTTGATTTATCTAATTGCTGGCATCATTTTAGTAACAACTGTTTGTTCAACTCCTATCTTCTGGGATATAGCACTCTGTGAAAGACAAAACCATTCCAGTCACATCCTCCAGGTGTTCCTTGTCTCATCGATCACATGTGAATGTCATAATAAAGACATAAAGTCCAAGCTATTTATGATCACACTTTTTGTGTGGCACCTGTACAAAACATAAATATCATTGTCTAATGGGATGTGACACTGTATAGTTAATAGATAGGTAGCAACTTTTTGGAGGAACCAGCAGCCTCCATATTCATGGTAAAAGAGTAAGGTAGGCCAACAAATCTTCAGAGTTACTCCAGTGAGAACGTCAAAACTCATTTGTACAAAACATTTTTCAATGATGGTTAGAATTTTTTCACACTTCAATGAATTGAATACTTTCTGATGTTTGTAAAGTAATAATATTTTCCTCAGATTTCTTATCTCTGAAGTAACACAAAAATCAGAGTTGCCATTCCACTATGGTTATTCTTGGCTTGGTGCACCAGCAAAGAAGCCTAGCCAGAATAAGGAATCAGTGTCACCCAAATCTGACCTGCAGCTGACTTTCAAAATGATAACAAATTTAGGGTTGATAGCATAGAAATAAGAATGATGCAGTTGTCAGTAGTCAGACAAGAATCAGTGGGAATAAATTAGCAGGGAATAAGTTTTTTAATGTACATAATTCTGATGTGGGTATCTGCACAGTTTTGAATGGAATGACAGTCTGGTTCTCTTTGTTTTGAACCGTAGAGGGGAATATCAGGTCAGCTGGTTTGCAGACCTGTACATGCTTGTCCTATTATCACTGATGCTCCCTAAAGAGATTTTTTTTTCATAATGGAAACTTGATTACAACAGAAAACTAGAATTACATTGTCAGAATGATTTGGACAAACCTTTTATGTGAAATCCTGAAGCAAACTTCTGCTTCTGTTCTAAGATATTGTCACGTGTATTATTGACTATTGAAAGGGGTTTGGATTGGTGAATAGATTTACTGACCACTTACAGGTCATAACTACAAATAGCTATAATGATTGCTGATTTCCACACTACAAATTACTCCACAGTATGTCTTCTCCGTCTGCTTTTACTGGTCATTACTGGGTAAAAGCTCTTAACAATGGCCACTCCTCTGCAATGTTTTCACTAGACGTTTACTGGTAACGAATCTTCAGCTTCTGTTGCCCACTGGTTAACACTTCACAATTGAACCCTCAACTACACTGCACTCACTCACTGAACTGAACTTGGTCGGTTGAATCACGTAGCCTTAAAGCGAACCCACAGAGAATGTCTCTTGCAGCACCTCTTCTGTTGCTGTGTGATGTCACTGTGTACATGCTTACCGAACCGCTCCAGAGCGACAGCTGTATGCATCATGCATCTTGACACCTTTATTGTCACATGTGGGCATTGTCTAGCAACTGCCGTTTCTCTTCCTCCACAGATCTTGCTTTGAGCAAATATGCCACAGAATCACCAAAAAATGTGTTAATCACAAGTTACAAAACTAGGAAAATATGACGTATTACGTACACTCTGGGGCCCACTGAAACATTGAAGCCATCAGGATTTAATGTGGAGGGTAGCAGAACATTCACTAAAAGACTTATGTGTATGACACTTAAGACTGTTATTACTGATTGTCCTAAGAGTCGCCAGGATAGAAGAATATTTTTAAATGCTTTTTAATTGTTGTTATTAATATTTGGTGTATTTCCTCCTTTTCTTAAATTTTAATCTTTTCCAAAACTCCAGGAAAGGGAGTAGTTGCCTGGCTTGTTCACCCATAGCAGTGCCTATGCAGTGAAATATCTGGTTTAGTATAAATAACTCTTGTATGAATGCACCGTTCTTGTCTTGTTTGCAGTCAGTTTTATATTCCAGTGTTGCGGTGCCAAGTACCTTTTTTGAAAACGGTGTAATGCTTGGGAAGTGTAAGAGCGAAAAAAGATTCTTTGTGATAATCAGCAGGATCACAGGGACCAGGTATCTGTAGATACGGTAATGATTCTTGTCAGGGGTGTAGTCTTAAATGTTAAGATCCTGTGTGGTCTGGCATACACCTTTGGGTTGAAAGAAATGAGTATAAATCATGATGTGATGCCATTCCTGTTATTTCTTAGCGATAGTTATACACTTTTAAACACAAAAGATGCATCGCGAGAGAAGGTTACACTTCTGCATCAGAGGCCAGAAATTAATGAGCCATTAGAACCATGTGGTTGTGTGGGTGAGTAATGACATGCCACAGGAACATGCTTCCATCTTCAGGGTCTACCCTGTGGACAGATGCAGTATGTTTCTCTGGCACGATATCCACATTCAACACTGCAAAATATCACAACACAGAAGTCACTGCTATGGAAACCTGGAAAGGATATGAGCTATAAAGACTATATCTCTTTCTTGAACCACTGTAGCTCAACTACAGCCTTGATTCTTACAGATACTCTGGGTACCTACTTATGTATAACCTAGCAGCTGTTCTTTAAAGATGACCGAATTCTATATTGGTTTACAGTGGGTTGCAGGCCTGCCCTAAACAATTTTAAATGCCACTTCTATACTGACTGAACAACTAATATTAGTTCAGTTGTCTTTTACTGGTTATCATTTCACATCTACTAAACAAATGTGTTACCTGACTGTGTACTGTCTGATAGTGATCCACTTTCAGAATTTGGACTTTGCAGTATTTGATCATTCATTTACAGGGTGGTGCACGAAATGATCCAGTATTTGATTTAGTATTAATTAATCAACCATACAATGAACGATATTTTGTAACAGGGTTACACTTAAAGTAGATCATGGAGATTAATTCTTACTCTTACCAAGCGTGATAGTTTTACACTGTTCCTGCTCATGATCCAGTTTATTATGTGCTGTCAAGTATTCAGCAACATCACAGTTCGTGTTGAAGTTGCCAGGTGNTGAGGCAGATGCCTCTATGGATATTTTTGGAACTGTAAATAAATGATGATGATGATGATGATGATGAATATTTCAGGCTCTCATGTCTTACTCTCAATTTCATTTTGAATGTGGAAATTTTACAAAACAGAAAGACATTTATAGCAATCAATATACCCATGATACTTGAGGTTTTTATGGCAATCAATATTTAAATTACAGTTTCCATCAATGTGAGACTGTCTAGTTTGGTACATAAGTACAACATTTGTGACGAATGTACTACCGATATAGAAATATATGTTGAGGGTTTTGCAGTGTATGTGACACCATGTAGTCTGGAAGATAGGTTACTAATGATTTAGAGGAGCCTTCTGCCTCCATCTTCAGGGTAGATGGAGGTACTGTCTCTTGAAGTCCTGAAGGTAGATGGTGGCAAATAGCAAGATATCAGCAACAGAAATGGCCCACACCATTGGCAGGTAAAGCTGGGAAGCTCCACCCACCTTCAGTACTCAGCTTTACAGTAAGAGGTCCCTCTAAAATGTTGGTATACAGAGCATCACATCATAGAAGAGGACAATCTCAGGGAATAAACTTTGCAGCACATTATGCATGTTGATAAAGGGTTAAACTACATTGTTAGTTTTACAGGCACACTGTCAGCTGAGCTTTTCTGAGACACAGAACATCTAAACAAGCTGCACGCTTTCCTTCATGTGAATGTGCCTTTGTGCATGATTTTGCGCTGGTGCCACCGCACAACTGACAACCTAGGTCCCCTTGCTTGTTGACTGCTACTGTGGTTTACCTTTATTGTGATGATGCAGCCAACTAGTGCCATGACATTGCAGAGCATGTGGTATGAATCGACGAGTAAAGTGAGCGCATGAGTCATATGACTCATAAAAAGTTGCACAAGAAAGAACAATGTGGTGAGCCCAAGCATTAGGTACAGCTGCACAGGTTGCAGATGGCGGAACCATTTTTTCATCGCCATTCTAGAACAGAACATCAAAGTTGAACAAAGTGAGATAGATGCATTGTAAGTTTAATGTTATTAGATGTGGTTAGTATTGAGGGATCTCAAAAAAACAGTAGAGTGATCTGTAGATGGCCTACAGAATGTCTGTTTTTAATTATTTCTGAAGTTTATAAAACTTAATAAAAGCTAGTCACCTTAAAGTATTCACAACATGTTTCAATCGAAGTGGTGATCATCAGGTGTTAAAAGTTGTGGGTGAGGAAATTGCTGTCTTTCTGCGTTGATATATGGTTTCCCCAGTGTGCATGTGTGTATTCCTCTCTGATGTGTTATGTTTCCCATCATATTATGTTCGTTCTCTTGTTTCCAGCTGCACACATCGACGTAGAAAGACAGCAGTTTCCTCACCCATAACTTTTCTTAACACCTGATGATGACCAGTTCGGTCGAAACATGTTGTGAAAACTTTTAAAGTGACTAGCTTTTATTACATTTTAATAAATTATTGCACATAAGACTGCAAAACTAGTTAAAAACACTAAGTGAAAAGTGCAACAAGATTCTACAATATAATATTATGATTCTCTTTCATTTTGTAAACATTGCATGCCATGTTAGAACAGTACATTGAAAAATATGGACACATAATTATGTTTTTATTCATCATCCAGTATTGCAGATATATGAAAGTTGTCACTGTATTAAGGTTCAACATTCTGTATATGTGGAATTAATTTAGTGCAGTCGGTATAGTGAATGGCTATGGGTTGGATGGCCAAGAGGCCAGATTTCAAGTCCTGGTAGGGTCAAGATTTTTCTCCTCTCAGTGTTGTTGAGACTGGTTCTGGGGTCCACACAGCCTATCCAGTAGGTACCAGGGGCTCTTTCCCTGGGAGTAAAGCGGCCAGAGCGTGAAGCTGGCCACTCACTTAGAGCTAGCGCTGAGGTCAAGCATATGTGGATCTATATATTCACTCACCCATAAGTCTTCATGGCATAGTGCTTAATTAGTTAAGCACACGAACAAGTTCATCTTTTTTCTTGAATGCATATGCATAAGGGTGAATGACTGTCCTGATTTAAGTATTTTGTGGTTGCCATGGTACCTCCAGGCAAATTCAAGAATTGTACCCTCAAAACATTTCATCCACATCCTTTTTCATTCATGATTCATAACAATCCTACAACTTAAGGTCATAAATCTGACTAGTAAATGGCAGCAAACGACCAGTTTCAAGAATAACCATGAACACTCGATAAGAAGGGGACAGATTGTTCCCACAGCTCTACGCCTGATGGTAAAATGAATAACTATGAATAACTGTACATACTTGAACAGAAGAGAAGGAAACTATTTAAATAAAACTATAAATATATGTAATGAATTCATTACTGAACAGTATATACTTCGATTTTCAATATAAGTAAATACATGATTTGCACAAAGTTCCAGTGTTTCTTAGTTCATTTAATGAAGCTTTCTGAACTGCACAGGTTATGACCTTAAACTGAAGGATGATTATGAATCACGAACTGAGAACGTTGTGGATGAAAGGAGGTTTGAGAATACTGCAGTATTTGTCCAAGAGGTACTATGGAAGACCGTAAATAACTTGGTCATGATAGCCAGCCTTAACGATGTGAGCCAAATTCAGGTCCCCCCAAATGCGCAGCAGTCTGATGTCTTGAGACATAACTGTGTTGAATTTTCTGCCCTATGCTCACATAGGTAAGAACACATAACTCATTCCTGATGTGGGAACACCCATAGAATAATGTTTGTTGCCCCCAATAAAGGGGCAGTTAAGAGTGTGATGGTCAGCAGAGCAGACCTACAACTTAACATGGGTCCATCAAGCCACAAGTGGGAGGTCTTCCAAAAGACTTGTCTTTAAATATCTTGTCTTTGTATATCATGGTATCAGTCTGTAAGAAGAAAATCCAGGCACTCATGTGCCCATCACTCGAAATCTGAATGTTCTGTCTAGTCTCTTACCCTGAGACTGTCAGTTGTTATTCATGTCACTTGGACCATCCTCCATTTGAGTCCCTATGTTCTATGTGGTAGTACTTCGTTGTGAGTGAAATCAGCATTGATTATGTACAGCTTCAGAGTGAAGTAGATGTGGGGTTTGAGATTCTTGTGGTGATATCTTCTGGGATATGATGAATTATAGCTTGGAAAAACTTTATTAATGTTTTCACAAGAATGTACTGCCTCAATATTCAAGGTGGAGGAGTAAATTGAGGAGCAGGCAGCCAAAATACTGGCTACACATNTTTGACGTGTGCAACATAATCTACATACCAGACACATATCAACGATGTAGATGTTGATAATACGAAGAATGTGACATTGTGTTTTTAAATGTTAAGTTTTAGACTGGGTTCAGTGTGGCAGCAACGTTAAGAGTATACACCTGATGATGGCCGATAGAGGCCGAAACATGTAGTGTAGAAGGAACAAGATCAAAGACATATAAATATATATTGTTTGCACTTAGGACGGAGTTTGTATCATTTACCATTTACAAATATTGAATGTTTCATGGGTTACAGTATTTGCCATACACCACATATCAATTCTGTAATGCTTCGTCCTACTCGTGAGCTTCAAATGGCCACTGTGCACCTTCCATCGAGGTTTATTTCTATAGATGTGGCTGGCTTCCCTGTCTATTTTGGCCATAATATTTCCATCATCAGGTGGATATGTGCATACAAATGTATGTATACAAAGCGCAAAAAGTAGAAATTCGCAAAAATTATTTTGTGTCATCACAGCTAGCAGAGCAACCAGTCTGCAAGCTCATGGTCGAGGACTCGGGATTCAATATCTGGTAGGGGCAAGAGATTTTGCTCCTCTCTACCATGTCCAAAACGGATCTGGTGCTCACCCAGCCTCCTATGGAACAAGCATTGGGAGTTGTTTCACTGGGGGTAAGGCAGCTGTGGTGATGAACTGACACCTAACATGTACTTCCACTTCCCACATACATCCTCATGGCGTGGTGCATTTGGACAACTTTACTTTTACTGTTTAAAGTTGAATACATCATCAACTGTATAAAATTAATATTAGAAGAAAAGCATGTCAATATGCGACGATATATAAAATCAAACATTAAAATGATTAATCATCAAATGTATGCTTAAGCAAGATGTATACGGGTTTCATATACGAGTAGTTGTTCATGTCAAGGCTGGTGCACTGTGGAGACACCATATGTTCACATTGCATCTAGGCCTGATGGGCTTCCTTTTAGATCTTCATTTTATCGATTCATTGTGATACAAAAGCTGTTGGACAGTGGCGACAATGGCAACAGCATCACTTATAGAAGGAGCAAGTGGCATATCAAGGCACGTTCTGAATGGTACTTGATGAAAAGGAGAGGGCTCGGCAGCAGACTGCCTCCTCCCCCACCCGCAATAGATAAACTTTCTCACAATTAAGAAGACGGACTTTACAAAAGACATTTTGAACCTTTAGAGCTCTTAATGAGTAGCAGAAGTCAATCAAGTGAAGGCCTGTTAGCGACGACAGTATGCCCTGTAGGCAACGATTGCTTCAATTCACATCTCCATGGACATCATAAGACATGCTGATATTTGAGTGAACTCTGTCCGTAAATGCCTACTATTAATTTCAAGCTTGCTCATCATAAGAGTAGCCCATAAAGTAAAAAAGTAAAGCTATCCCTGTAACAGGCCGTGAAGGCCCATAGGGGTTGTGAGACGTTAAGGGTCTCACATTACCTTGACAATCGACTCAAAGATGGCGGTAAGGCTGACAGCCTGTTACAGGGATAGATTTTACTAAGAGTAGCCCGTACGCCTAATTAATGTGATTCATCATTTCATACTATGAAGTACAGGCTGTACTTTCAGACCTAGCTCTGGACTGCGAATTCCGAGAAGTGGCAAAAAGAACCGTCTCTGTGGTCTAGTGGTTAGAGTTCCTGGCTACAGATCCAGAGGTCCGCGTTCGATTCCCGACGCTACCAGATTTTCTTCTGCTAAGTAGTGGGTTTGGAACGGGGTCCACTCAGCATCGTGATGATAATTGAAGAGCTATTTCAAGGAAATAGCGGCTTCGGTCTAGAAAACCGAAATTAACGGCCGTGGGGATTCGTTGCGCTGACCACGTGACACCCTCTACCCGCTAAAGTTGGCACCAACTTCGCCGACAAGCGGTGGTCGCTCGGTCGGTATAGTTCGCTTGCGGACTGAAACCACGGAGTTTTTTTTGTTTTGTTTTAAGTCGCAAAAGTATCGGGCAGTGATTACAGCTCCAGTGCGAGTGGAGGGTGACGCACTGTCCGAATGTTTTACACCAGGGTTCTCCAAACTTTTCGAGACGTGGGCCACATTAGGTAATTCAGCACTTTCAACGGGCCGGATAAAATGAGAAATTAATAACTCTAGGTATATGAGTTTTATTGAAAGCACAGAATTTCATAAACGAAATACAAAGTACGTGAGAATAAATTATCGTATATTAATGACAACAGACAGTAGCAGCAAATGCTCATATTTTCATCACAAATTATAATAAAACAATTAATGTGAATGACTGAACTCTTTTTGCATTCTTAAAATCTGATT